CCTACTCTTTTGCATTGATTTTTGTGCGTGTGTGTGTCTGTGTGTGTGCACGTGTGCCTGGGAAGGATTTCTCAGGGGGTTTGCTGTAAACAAGGAAAGCTAAATCCTCTGCCAAAGCTTCTTTTTCTACCTTTAAATAACCTCCATATTAAATATTTCAGGAGAGAATATCTACAAAAATACTGAGAATGCAAAAAAAAAGAAAAAAATTAGTTATTTTGCAGCAACTATACTGGAAATTTATAGAACAAGACATTAAACAATCAAATACCTTGATGTGGCAAAACAGTCACAGAAGTAGTACACGTTAATTCCTGCTTTCATAAAATAGCAGTAAATTCAAAGAGCAGGGTCAACAAAGCCCTAAAAAAAAAAAATAATCTCAAATTCATGACTGATTCCAGAACACAAAATTTTCCTTACACACCTAAAGGCTCATCTTGCAAGGCAAAAATATGCTAACGAAAGAGTCTGCAAGCACCTAGAGACAGAAAAATAATGCATCTTAAAAAAAGAATTGTGCCACTTAGAATTTCTAAGCACTTCAAATTGAAATATTCTGGCCAGTTGGATCTCTGCTTTAATGGTTTTCCTAGTTCTTAATATAACAAACTATGTAGAATTTAAATGGAGATTAATTCTTCCATTTAAAGTGCTTTAAAATAATTCTGCCTATGATCTTGAGATCTCAGCCCAGCTTCTCCATAGTGCCTCTTCTCTGGTTTTCCTTGAGCTACATAAGTGGAACTGACAGATCACTGCTCAGATAGCAGCCACGTTCTTCCCCCAAAATGTTGCCTTTTTGCTATTCAGGAGTATCCTAATACCAACAAATGCTAAATGAAGTCTGACATGTACCCCTAAGAAACAAACTTGTAAGTTGTGGCTTCAAAGAAAACCTTGAATAAATAGGACACATTGTGTACACCCAGGCTAACATCCAACATATGCTTTAGTTTCCTGATGCTGAGACAGAGCAAGAATAGCCTCTGGTAAAGTCTGTGATTTGCTCTTGCTGGTACTTCCAACATTTATAATGTACCATTTTCTTTTTGCCTCTATAAACAATTTAAAAAATGTAATTAAGAAGACCACAGCAACATTTCAGAACACAACAGATTCATGAATAATGGATTATCTGACATGCCACTGGTCTGATCAACAATTACAAAACAAAACGAAGAGCATTCCCAATCTTTCCTTTGGAAAAGAGCATCGGCACCAATAAGTCATAACAGACAGGTGGTTTTATCAAATTAAAAAAAGTAACTGACATAATGAAGGTCTCCAATTCTTCCCTTTGGTGGTGGTGATCAACACACCAAAGAGCAACGTGCAGCTAATAGGTGCTATTAACGACGACAGATACAAAGGAAGCATGATGGAGACAGGAACGGGGAAAAGCAACAAAACAGGATAAAACTACATTTCACTGCACATATAGATTCAGTGAAGACACGCCATTCTTAAGAGTCCAAGTTGTTTATTTGTTATTTAGGGAAGACAGAGAAGGGATGGACAGAGAAGATAAAGATATGACCTACTTTATATATAAATATATATATGTCTTATTTTCACCATTATTTAATGCTCTATTTTATGACTAATCCTTCTGAAAGAACTAAAAGGAGTTTAATTCAATCTTATCATCCTCTTCCCTACTTAAAGTTCAAGTCCCTTTTCCTTTTGTCCTCCATTCCTCTGGATTTAGGGCACAAAAGTATATCAGTAAAATTCAAGTTTAATAATTCACAAGATCTAAAGCAAGCTTGCTGAAACATTGACTTAAAAGAAATTTACCATGGACAGAAAGCAGGTTAATTGATCACGATACAATAATTAATGTGTTACAACACGGCATGAGCCCATCTACACCACGGGGCACAGGCTGACCTACAGGAGCCACTGCAGACAAAATTCAGTTCTGGAATGTGGCATCTTCAGAATCAATTTAATGTTGCAGTTGGAAAGTTTTTAGGCTGGACTAGGTGCAGCCTCAAAGCATCCAAATGTATATTATGATGTCACAAATTTGATACTTTAGTCCTTCAGAACCACTGCATTCTTCTAGGAAACTGAGGTTTGAGACTTTTTTTTATTTCCACAGCAAAGCATCATTTCTTTAAATTCTGCACAGAAACGTGGGATAACTAAGTTGTAGTCTTACAAGTAAAGCAAAATAAGGCCAGATATACTAACTGGCAAGAACAAGTAGTTTCACTGGCAGCAAAACCTCAAGTCTCTTTTTGAGATCTCTCCCCAAATTAGCCTCCGAGAGCCCTGCTGGCATCACAGCCGTCCTCTGAAGGAGAGCTGTTTCCAGTCTCTGCCAGCCACCTGATTTATAAAACTTGTTTGAACAGAGTGATTACACAATCCCCTTTCTCCATTAAGCTGCTTGTCAATATTTTTACATTCCCTTTTTTTTCTATTTGACACTGCTTTGTTTCCAATACGCAGAGCGTGGGTTTGTTTCCTGTTGCTTGGGAAGGCAAGGAAACCATCAGAGACAGCTCTCAGTCATTCCCAGAGTTCTGCACAGATGTTTCCCACTAAAAGACCACATGGTATCTCGGTGCTGAATTTTCATTTATGGCAACACTGCTTACAACAAGTACTCGTCCAAGAAACTCGAAGACTAATTTTAAGGCTATCTTGCAAATGCATCTCTTTAGAATGCTGGAGTACTAAACAGCTACGATACATCCAAACTATCTATTTAACCAGAAAAAAACTCCAATAGATTATAAATAGATTTCAAGTTACTAGTGCTCTTATGAGAAGTGCAATCACAGTTAAGAGAACCACTTCGTTCTTGCATGCTCCTGGGATCCCTTAAAACAGTCTAAGGGATAGCTTATAGCAATGAAAAAATAAATCTGAATTACTTCTACAAATGCTATTTACAGCAGCTCCTGCTACAGTACACAAAAAAATACCACATAATCCCTTAACAAATTTTGCTTCTAAAATAACCTCTTAATTCCTCTAGACCTTGAAAATAAGAGACAGAAGATGCAGTCTCCATCAGAGATAGGTGAAAAATCAAGTCCATCCTTTAAATCTCACCTTACTCCCAAATAAGAACCAAAACATACATATTCTCGCACATATATATATTAAAATTTTTTTTTTTTTTCATTCTGGGCTCTGTATGAGACAACTTGCAGGTACCAACATGTGCTTTTGCCAGAAGCCTCATAAATACTATCCAAGTCCAGTGTATTTCGAGAGTCCCTCCCTTCCCAGTATAAAAGCCCCAATTGACAAGCCGATGAACAGTGTAAATGCAGATCTAAAAAGGGAGAACTGCCTTTATAATCAATTTTCTGTGAAGACCATTCTGGCTGCCAAAAGGTCAGAAGCTACATCTTCAGGTAAAAACCAACTAGAACTCTACCACTACTGAAGTAAATCAGTATTTAAGCTACGTATTCTTTGGAGGGCTCCTCCACGCCTACAAGGAATTATGGATTTTTGCCCTACCCTGAACACATCTGACATTTTGATACTACCCAGCAGCTCCATCATCCAGAAAGTTTTACCAAAACTTTGTCTTTAAAGGGAAGTGGAAGAGGACTAGAAGAGGGAAATACCAATCAAACTAAAAACACATTGTGAAACAGTGTAGAAGTCTGATGCAAAGAAACAAAAATATTTCATCTTCTGTGTATGCCAACATAGCCAAGTGCATCAAGAATGCAGTTATGACAGTCTACCCTAGCACTCCAGCTTAAGCAGTGAACTTTCCAGCATTTAGAATTTGTAGAAGTTCAGTATTTTTCAAATACTGAAGTTCTGACAGTTTGGGATGTAACTTGCATGATGTTATAAAATACTGATACACAGCAGTTTGGATAAAGCTCAAGACACCTGTACATCAACACAAACTCCAATATTCTGGACAAGCAAAGTTTTTTTCTAAGTAGTAATTTGTCAAGTAAGCCAACTAAACCTCACCAATTTTGTTTCAGATTGTCTTGTGCATCTGTAGAGAATGAAGGGACAGAGTTAAGAAATCATTTGCTTGGAAGACCCACGGCAGCCCCTGTTGCTATACAGCTATGCTAGGGACTTACTACTAGGCTTATTCCACAGAACAAGGCAAAAAGGTTCCTCCATTCTTACGTTACAAAACAAGAGTGATGCTCCTTCCAAATGCGAATACTTCTGAACAGGAAAACTGCTATTTCTAGACAACTGCAATGAGTTCTATTAAATCATCATTCTATTTTGAAGGCACATCAGAAGACTTGCAGAAAGCGTCTTTATTTTCTCCCACTCAGGTACTGATTTTGTGTAAGCATTATACACAAACACACCTAAAACTGGATGATACAATAGATTAAATAACTTGAGCTGGAGGCATTTTTCCTCTCATGAATTTATAACCCTTTATTTAAAGGGGTTTTAACAGAAACCGTTCACCTCTTATAGCAATCTCTAGTATCTGATTGTAATTACAATGAACTGTCTTTGCAGAACAACCTATTTTATTGGTGATACAGAAAGTAACTGACCCAGGCCTCATCCCACCCAGTGCCAGAGCCACAACCAGCAGCCAGGTCACCTAGACAGGTCTGAGGTTATTTGCACAGTGGAAGTGCTACAGTAAAGCATTTAACATTACTAAATGATCACACTTCCTTGACTTACAATACCTCAGAGGTTGCACTCGGTCTGAGAAGCACATAGGAAAATCATGCACAGCTGGAAAGTTGTAGGGAACCACCAGAGCACCGCTATGCTTTCACATATACTATACCTACTAGCCAGGAAGACTAATATACTCTCTCCTGCATCCAGTAACTTACTGTCGTGAAAAAACATAATTTATCTACCAAATTAATGCTTCAGATGCAAATTGAATCCTTCAAGGTGTTGTTTTTTTCCTTTGGAAAAATCAATGTACGTGACCTACAGCTGCACACTTGTGTTCCACCTCCCCCTGCCCAAAGCACAGCACAAGGTAATACCCAAGGCACAGAAAGGCAACGTACCGTCGTAGTAGACAATAGCTCCGACAAGCTCATCTTTGCGTAGCATGGGAAAGAGCTCCAAGGCTCTTGCTTTGCTAAGGACATAACTACTTTTCAGACATTGACTTCCAGCCACGAGGTCATATAGTTTTATTCCAAACCAGTAGTACGGCAACTGCCACCACCTGCAGGGAAAAAAGATTCCCCATGAAATGAAATTAAGAAGTTTTAAAAGCACATGCAGACACTGTTATTGTAGCATAGAACATGTTAAGTAACACAGTGGGTTGTATCATACCAGTCTTACTTTGTGCCATCATACAAATCGATGGTATCACAATACAATGTAAACATGCAAGAACTTTTGTATTGCTCACTATCATTTTCCACTGATCTACTCGCTGCAGTTAGTCAAGCAGATTCAAGGCTTTATTTATTCAAGAATTAGAATCACAAACTGGCTTTTTGTACTTTAGAGTAAGGTGAGGTATTCAAGCTGTGTTGAGGGAAGAACCAGGCTGTACGTGCAAGCTGAAAGGGTTCCTCAAATGCACAGCTTGACTAATGTCTTCTGCACAAACAGGACCAGATAAACGCAGCTGACCACTGACCTACCTAAGCTCCAGCTATTAGAAGCTCCTTCTACTAAGGCAGGAATAAAGCCACACATTAAGATCATTCAGCAAAATCTCACTGCTCTAAGCAGCCTGTTACAGGGAGTAACAGTTCTTATAGATCTAAAAACCTAACCCAAATCACTTGAAGTCTCTCTCTCATACAAGAAAACTGTTCTCTCAAAACCAAACTGTCATGTGCTGTGGAAGGCAAGTGCACCAAACACTGGTGGTTGTATGGACTAAGAATGCTATGGTAGCACGTGTTGAAGACAAGGATGTACTGGAGAGAACGGCAAGTAACATCCTGGGAACAAGAGTTCATTCCAGCTGCAAACTCCCCTCCTCCCCCTCACTGGGGTGGTAGAACAGCTGAAGTCCAAGACGTGCTCCTAGACAGCAGTGCTAGTGCTTGGTGCCATGAGAGAATTTCATGCTTCTACAATACGGCAACATCTCACCTCCTGGAGGACACAGCTTGTGGCAGGTTTAAAGACATGCTTGGAAAGAGGCACCTGGAAACTTCTCCAGGGAAATAGCTTGCTTGTCAAAAGCAATGTCAGAGAAGCAGTGTTACAGCAGAGCTTACTTGTAAACGGGCAGCATTATTGGCAAAGGAGCTGATAGGTGAGGAGCAATTTCAAGCAGATTTGCACGCTCCTCAAGTGCTTCTTTCACCATCTTGTACTGAAAAATAAAAGAGTACACGTGAATCTCATGTTACTCTATTTTGTCTCCATGTGCAGCTGTTAGTAAGAAACTGTTTATCAAAGAAAACATCTTGCATAATTTTTACTGTTCTTTCAGAAATACACTGAGATTTGCTGAAAAATTCAGAAGTTGAGGAAAATGTTTCCCAAGAAAATTAAGTTTCACGTTGATGTTTTGTCAGGTCATTTGAATAATTTTTCATTTGAACGTAAAGTGTAATAAGCCAACTGCGGGCAGGAGGCACTTCAGGAGGGCTGGAACGCATCCCACCGCATAGCTTCTGTGCTGATTCCCACAATTAAACCCCACACTAACTCCGAGTTGCAAATGCAGAAGTGTTCTTCTCCAAATCAATCAATATGAATCAATATGAAGTTGTTCTTTGGCAAATCAGGTTGATTTCTACAGCTGAGTAACTGCATGTTTTATATGTTTTTCCCTGAGAAGTCACTGTTTCTGTAGCAGTATTCTAACCAGTAAAACATTTTTTTAAGTTAGAGAGGTTTCAATGAGGAGACAAATCGATTTCTCCAAATAAGAATATCACGCTTCCACCAACACAAGAATACATAAAAGCATTTATATATAATCACTCATTTACCACATTTTCTTTCCCTATTCCAGAATAAACAGGACAACCGCTCACTCCCTCAAATTCTGATCACGATAGGTAGGAAGCTCTTTTTATCCTGAAGTCAGCCCTGTCTCTGCCTGCCTTCCCCAAAATATACATGCTCTTCAAGGTATGGCAATTAGATTGCCCACAGAAGAACTGAGCAAAAGGCAGCAGCACTGATTTCCCTCATCTGGAAAGCTCAACTGGAGGAGACACTTTCTATGCACAGTGGCTGTGGAATACAACAGTCAAGTACTGAAAAAATAAAAAGGAGACTGGGATATAATTGGGATAGGGGAAGCGTCTACTAGCAATTTTTGCTTAACAACCAGCATAAACAATTACCTGCTCAAAATCCAACTTCATGATGGCCTTCTGAAGATATCTCACTCCACCGTGGATCAATTTAGTACTCCTGCTGCTGGTCCCTGATGAGAAATCATCTCTTTCTAGAAGGGCTGTTTTTAGTCCTGTGTTACCAGAAAAACCAAATTAACTTCTTAAATTACACAATTTGTATGTAATTCATTAAAGACACTTCTCTAGGGTAGAGACAATCACAAGAAAAATTACTCTGTACATGGATAAATTTGTATTCAAAGTGTAGTGCACTGTCTATATTGTAATGAAAAATTTTAGCCTCCTTCCTAAGGGAAAAGTCAAAACAGAACTTAAACAGAAGCACATTAAAACCTGGATATTTCACAATAGAAAGGCATTACAGCACATTATAGGGGCCATGCTCCCTCAAGCAAATTATAGTTCATATTCATGGCAGGAACAGAATATTTTCATGAATACTTTTAACTCTTCACAGCAGAGAGCTCTAAACCTATCACAGTAACAGTTTAACCAGCACACCAGAGGTGGACAACTGGCCTCTCGGTCTGCTTACGAGGTGCCCAAAGCCAGAGGAGAGCCAGCCATGGGCATGCCCACCACCCAGGGAGAGCCCACAGCATGACACACAGACACAAAACGTTAGCTATGAGATATTGGAATCATAGAATGGTTTGGGTTGGAAGGGACCTCAAAGACCATCCAGTTCCAACCCCCCTGCCATGGGCAGGGACACCCTCCACTACACCAGGTTGCTCAAAGCCCCATCCAACCTGGCCTTGAACACTTCCAGGGATGGGGCAGCCACAGCTTCTCTGGGCAATTCCTGGTCCAGGGCCTCACCACCCCCAGAGGGAAGAATTTCTTTCTTAGATCTAATCTAAATCTCCCCTCTTTCAGTGTAAAGCCATTGCCCTGTGTCCTGTCACTACATACCCATCAGCACCACAGGACAAGTACATGGCAATCTTTCACAGTCTGTGTTACAGAAGTTAGCGTAACAGACCCCCTCCATCACTGGCATAATTTTAAAGTTAGGCAGGCAAGGCAAAAAGTGAATTAAATTCAGTGACATTGCTAACAAACCCAACAGCAACAGGATGACGATGCAAACCCAAGGAGAAGAGCACCGTCTGCATCACAAGTTATCCCTTGGGTCTTTCCTCCGCCCTCTTTGAGGGGTGCTTCATGGTGTTGGTTGGTGAACATACATTGTCACATCTATCGGCCTCCCAAAACTTTTATGTCCATAAAAAAATAATCTAATTATTACTGGTAACTTGCAAAGATCAGAGTAATTTATTTTTGTCAAATGTGACTGAAGATTAATGGATACAATCAGAAATAATTTGGTGAAGATATATCAAACACATGAAAAGCAAAATTTGTTGTTAAGCGAAGCAAACATAATAAAAGAGCAAGTTCCATGAATGAACAATAACAATACACAATTCATTAACCAAATGCCTAGGAATATTTCACACTTCAGATACCTACTGATACAATCAGAATATTTAGTAAGAGGATAAATATAGATTACCTATAACAACTTCTGTATGCTTTACAACTGCATTTTCTACCACAATATAGCAGAGGCAGAAGTGAAAAGATCCCAAGTTATCTTTATAAACATAAGAAAAAAATTAATAATCAGATTTAAATCTGTATGTATCCACCAATGGTGCAGACCTTACTGCTTGATCCATTTCAAAATTATCACACCTTCTGGATAAATATTTTCCAAATCAAGCTACAAAACACTCCTGGAGTCAGGTTTTCCCTCTTATTTCCGAGGTATATCTACAGGTTAAGGAACCTAAAGAAATCTATGGCTATCTGCTGTGTTTTACACTGTATTTTTTTTCCATTTTAGTTCCAAAACCAGGATAAGGTCTACAAACACAGAAACTAAGGCAGGCAACTGCATGCAAGCACCTAGGCAATAAAGACTCTGCTGAAACAACAAAATGCAATGACATTTTTTCTTCAAGTTTGTTTTAGCTGCTGAGAACAGGAAGTTTTATAACCAGGCATGCAGAGTACACCCTCTCTGACTTCAAGTACTTTTGAAAAGCCAATCTGATAAATTTATTATAAGCCATGTAATCCAAGAGTAAGAATGCAATTAAATTTTCAAGCCTTACCTCTCGTGACTGCATCTAAAGCACAGCCACATCCTGTTGCTCCTCCGCCTATAACAAGGATAGGGAAATGGTTCTTTACTGGGACAGTCACGGCTTCTGCGGCTTGAGCATGCACAAAGGTACCCTACGAAGATTAAAAGCAACATATGAGCATCTGTATTTATTGTATACACACGTGTGTGTACACATACACAACCAAATCACAGCATTTTCTATAACCATAAAAGTAAACTAAATGGTTCTTTACTGGGACAGTCACGGCTTCTGCGGCTTGAGCATGCACAAAGGTACCCTACGAAGATTAAAAGCAACATATGAGCATCTGTATTTATTGTATACACACGTGTGTGTACACATACACAACCAAATCACAGCATTTTCTATAACCATAAAAGTAAACTCAAATATTGCCAGTCACTTTACCTGTATTCAATAACAATATTGTATGAAAACATTACGGAGCAAGAGACAGGACTAAAACCATAAAGGGTTAGCACACATTTACTTCATCTTGCCTACTTCAATATAATGCTGTACTCAAGTGCTACTACCTATATTAATTATTTCTAGGAAGAGTCTTCTGCTTTGTCTAATGTCACAGGAGGCTCAGGACACATGGTTAGGCTCTCAACTCTCTACCAAAAAAAAAATCCACCAAAGCAAAGGATTTAAAGACAAATGTACATTTTATATTTTAACATTAATTACTTGTACAGTGGCATTAATCTAAGGTCAAATTTGATCAGGTTCATGAGACAAGGCAGTTTACTGTCAAATAAAACACCAGAGAACTACTATTTCCATATTCTTTTTCAAAATCGTACAAGCAAAACAATTTATACCCTACAGCATGCTAAAATTCAACTTTTCTGTAAAGTGACAAAACTTATTGATGTGGAGTTCCCAGACAAGTTCAGATTTTACCAGGATGGCTTTGAGAATCTCTCCAGTACTCTGCCTGATACTCCACCAGCCCCTGCTGGTCTCCATTCAGTGACCGTGGTGAGACAGGCTGACGAGCTTGCTCAGTCAGCTAATATGGACCAGGGTTTACATTTTAAGGTTTTAACCAGCTTCTGAAGGCTCTCTTCAGGTATCATTAACTTAAAGTGAATTCTGAAAATCTTTGCAGTTGCAGGAAACCCCAAACCCTACTACTGGTCACACATTTCATAATAATAATGTTCATGAGAGCCATCACTGTGTGTTACTGTTCTTCACACTAATTGTGCATACGACGGGCTGCAGGCAGATATCAGGGTTGTTCAGCTAAACAGGGTGCAAGACCACAAAACCCACACTTGCCTTCTCTTTGCTTTCAGCTCCAGCTTTGCTTCTTGGGAGGCAAAGAGCTGGAACAAGTATTCCTCGTTCACCAGTGTTCCTCATTCTGCACAAAACTAGACAATCAATTTTTCTCACCACTGTATTTTAAGACCTGAAGGACCCATGTTTTCCACAGCCATCACCTGTACCTAAGCACACCTGGCAGACAAAGCACCTGCATTTACAATAGGATGGGTAGTCAAGGCACCAGCCACCCAGCCAGAACACGGGCAGGACACCCCAGCTTGGCAGCAGACCCCCACAACCTTGAGAGCATCCCTTGAGCCAGCTCTGTTCAGAAACAAAGAGATTTTGGTGCTCTGAAGTTTATTTGATTGAGAGGAATGCTCTGAGAAACAAAGAGATTTTGGTGCTCTGAAGTTTGTTTGATTGAGAGGAGTGCTCCAATTAGTACCCAGCACTTCCAAAGGAACTGTTTTAACCACTACCGATTTGAAACACGTATGGGAAAATAAACACCTACAGTATCCAGGCTAGGACAGAAGGACCAATTGTACATTATGTACAAGGAATGGCTCACAGTGAAACCCAGAGCAGTCCCAAGCAGATAGCCACCGGTGTAGCGAGAGCACAGAGATTAGCACTGGAATATAAGGGAAGTGATTAGCGCTCTAGGAATTGATGTAGATACGATTCATCTTGCTGTCAATTAAATGCGAGGGTGAAGAAAAGCTGCACACAGGGATTCCATCTGCAATAACGTGATTAGTTTGGCAGTGAACAAGTATGTTTACTGAAATAAGCAATTGCTGTTTATATCTACAATTTCTCAGGCAAGAGTTCCTTGAATGGTTTTGATTACACTCTTAGCAAGAAGAAATTTAGTTTGGCAGTTTGAATTCAATCATGAAGTTATAGAGTGATCTAGTAATCCATAAGCAAGAATTTTTGTTAATTTGCTAATGCAAATCTCCAGGTAGGTTTCCAAGTCAAATTCATCATCTTTTTTTTTTTTAAAAAAAGGAAGTAATTAAACCCTCAAAGCAGGCCCCGATGCACCATCATATCACGCTCCGTTGGATTCACCTCGATGAGCAATTCCTACTGGCCAACAACGTACTTCCACCCAAAGAGAGAGAAGGATTGCCTGGTGGGATCGGTTAGGAACAGACAGCAATCCCTTAGAGCCCCAAACAAAGCAAGGCTTTTTCCCTTCATGATTACGGAGGAGGGGGAATCACCGGCAGTCTCCAATCCAAACTGGGCACACCAAACACCCACACCATAACTCGTACTGGTCCGCTTGGCTGAATGCACTCAAAGGCACAGAAAGCAAGAAGGCAGCAATTCGGTCAACATCTACAGGAAGCAAGAGAGTCTGGTCTTCCCATTTCTCTGTCACCATTAGCGTTAAAGTACTGGTGAAACAGCTAGCAAAGGCTGGCTGCATCACTTCTGCCATTCGGGTATCTGAATATTTGAGGCCAAATCAATCAATGATGTACATAGCCTGTGTATTTTGTGTCTCAGAGGGGTCCAATGTCATCTCAGATGCAATTCTTCTTTTCAGGAGCCCATGATTGGTAGTTAATGTAGCATACATGGATTCACGAGTTGCTTAAAATAAAATTCATTTACACTGGTAGCACTGGAAAAAAAAAATCTAAGAGTCTATGCACACTTTTGCTTTACCCGAAAACAGTTCAGGAGGGACTAGTTTCTTCAGACCTCTGCACTACCTGCTGTGAAGAGTTTCCCAGCTGTCTCCTTTTCTCTGGAAAACGGTTTTTCTTTTTAATCTAACCAAAAGCCTCCTTGTCAGACTTATGCATTTGCTCTCACCAGTCAGCAAGGCTGTGCAGAAGGCTTGACCAGCTTCCTTAAGGGTAATGGTTATTCGATATGAAAGAACCACTCCTGTGTGTTTACTGAAAGAGGTTTTGCTTGAATTAGTGTCATTCCTACTTATTCTTATTTCCTTACACATAGCATTAAGCTAACGCAGTGGATTAATTCAGGAAATATCCCAGTGATCGGGTTACTCTAAAAGACAGAGAAGTGCAATATTCATCTATCAGCCTATGAGTTAAATTCAACAACAGTTC